GCAATAAGAAAAATACATAATCCACGTCATAACACCACAGTAAGTACTGTGTGTTTCCAAGACAGTATATAAATCAAATCATTTCGTTAAAAATCCAGTTTACGGTAGAAATTATTTGAAGATGTGAAAAATCCGTATAAAACATCTTTCAGCAGTTTCAAACAAGTGATGAAACAGTGAGTAGAAATGATGAAAATATAGTCGGTCCCTCGGGCAAAAACTCACTCGTATATAGCCCCTCGGGCAAAATGAATCATAAACCGCCCCTCGGGCAAAATATCAACAGAACTAGCCCCTCGGGCTACCTCACAATCACTCGTAATCAGCCCCTCGGGCAACATCGCATCACTCACACTGGGTACATGTGCTCACTGGGGGTGTTCAGACTCCGGAGGGGCTCCTACAGCCCAAGCGCTATAACAAACCATCTCGTGGCATAATCAATCAGGACCTCGACTTCACATAACAAGCCACCTCGTGGCATAATAAATCAGGCCCTCGGCCTCTCATATATCACAAATCAGTACAACATGTTACGGCGTGCAACCCGATCCCGTGATATCCTTACAACACAGGCCCTCGGCCTCACTCAGTCAGACCTCTCAAGCCACTCGGGCTACAGTAAAACAGGATGCTCAGTGAAATATCATTTATGCATCGAATTAGGGTAAATAAGATTGAGTTATGAAATCAGTAAAACATAGCATGACCGAGTACAGTTATTAAATCAAAACAGTGAGGAATTTCAGTAAAAGAAGGCCCCTAAGGGTCCAAACAGTTGGCACGAGGCCCAAATATGGCATCCAGCCCAAAACATAGCAATACTTTCCAAAACACAATAGTATCGAATAGTTTTCAATCAAATACGCAACATAATAGTCGTACGGGGTGGACCAAGTCACAATCCCCAATGGTTCATGACCTCATGCTCGTCATCTAGCATGTGCGTCACCTCAAAGTAGTGAAATGATGTGAAATCCGGGGTTTCATACCCTCAGAACAACATTTACAATCATTACTTACCTCAAACCGGTCCAAACTCTAACCTGCGATGCCTTTGCCTCTCGACTCAGCCTCTAAATGCTCCGAATCTAATCAAAATCAATATATTATCATCAATATACGCTAAAGGAATAAAGCACAAGCGAAAATTATCAATTAACTCAAAAATCTCGAAATTGGCTCAAATCCGGCCCCCAGACCCATATCTCGGAATCCGATAAAAATCACAAAACTGGAAAACCCATTCGCTCACGAGTATACCCATATCAAATTCACCAAAATCCAACATCAAAGGCCATCCAAATCCCTAAAATCAACTCTCCAAATTTTCTTCCATTTTCCCCAATTTTCACCCCAAATTCCCAAAGTAAATGATAAGAATCAAGACATAATTATTGGATTTAACCAAATTTGAGTGAAGAACACTTGCCCCAATTACTCCTCTGAAATTTCCCTCCAAAATCGCCTTCTCCCGAGCTCTCTTATGAATTTTGAGATTATGGACCAAAACCCTCATTTTTGAACTTAAACATTCTGCCCAAACATTTCCTTAATTGTGATCGCGGAAATAACCTCATGATCGCGAAGAACGACTTTGCCGCCTCAACTTTTTACTCTACGTGATCGCTATTGACCCCACACGAACGCGAAGGGTAACACCAGCTTTCCTCTGCCGCCTTATTTCTTCTACGTGAACGCAGTCAGGCCCACGCGTTCGCGTTGCACAACCTGACTGACATACACGATCGCGTCCCATTCTCTGCGATCGCGAAGAGTTAACCCAGCTGGCCTCCCACTTGCCCTACACGATCGCAAACCTCCTCCTGCGATCACGATGAAGAACACACCAGTTGCAGAACACTAGCAAACTCCTTAAGTCCAAAAATGACCCGTTGAGCATCCGAAACACAGCCGAGGCACTCGGGACCTCAACCAAACATGCCAACACATCTCATGACATCATTCAAACTTAGTCGAATCTTTGAATCACTCAAAACAATATCAAAACACTAAATCATCCTCGGATTCAAGCCTAAGAACATCTAAATTTTCAAATTCCACAAACAACACCAAAAATTATCAAACCTCGCCCGAATGACTTGAAATTTTGCACACTTCACAATTGACACTACAAACTTACTCCAACTTCCAAAATTCCATTCCGACCCCGATATCAAGATTTCCACTGCCGAGCGGAAACTCCGAATTTCTAATTTCGCCTATTCAAGCTTAAATCTACCACGGACCTCCAAATCACATTCCGAACGCGCTCCCAAGTCCAAAATTACCTAATGCAGCTAACCAAATCATAAAAATCTAAATCCGAGATCGAATACTAAAAAGTCAAAACTTGATCAAACCTTTCAAATTTAAAGCTTCAAGCCGAGAATTGTTCTTCCAAATCTATTCTGATTATTCTGAAAACCAAAATCGACGATTTACATAAGTCATAATACATCATACGGGGCTAGTCATATCCAAGAACTGGTGAGCGAAGTGCAAATGCTCAAAATGACCGGTCGAGTCGTTACAATAATAAAAATAAACATAATCTAAAAGTAATAAGTCATATTAAAATAAGTACGACTAATAAGTACTAAGTATTGACTAAATAATATTAAAAGTGAGTTATGCATTTTCACTATCTAAATCAATGCAAAACTAAAAAAATAAATATTTAATACTATTGTCATTTCTAGTATTGAATTGAATTTATTTTATTAGCATTAGTATTGATTTGATTTTGCTTTGGATTTATTTGAGTTAATAACTTTTATGGGCTATAAAATATATTTGACCATTCAAAAGTTCTAAGTCCAAGCTTGAAATAATATATTAAAAGAGAGAACTATTAAAGAGCTTAAATTATATTTATAAATTACATTACAATAATTATTTTTATGTATAAAATATTTTTAAGACTTGTATACATTTAATGTTGGGTTGGTTTGGTTTCGGTTTTACTTTTTTTAGTTAAAACCAAACCAATTATGATCGAATTTTTTTCCAACACCAAACCAAATCAAACCAGGTTTTTTTTTTTGGATTATCGGTTTGATACGGTTTGTCAGTTTTCTTTGTACACCCCTATCCGCAGGTTAAAGTTCGTGGATGTATAACAGAGGTAGTTCAATAGAATTGGTAACCTAAAGCAAAAACTTAATAAGAGGTATGAAGTAATTTAATAAAACTTGCTTTTATGTGTGTGGCATGTGCATCCATGTGTCACATGTGCATCTTGTGCATGTACATTCACACACGCATTATCACACATGTATTTCGTGTGGGGCATCCTATGTCAATTTGGGTATGTTGGCTTATATATTAGACTAGTGGAGAAGCCCGAGCCCAACGTCAACAATGCTATGTTGTTATCAGTAAGGAATAAGTTTGTGGCTAGAAGAGAAATAGAAGATACAGATCTGCTACAAAAATATTACTCAACAGAGAAATAGAAGACTATAGAGCTACTACAAAAATGTTACTTTTTCTAATCCTTCAATTTCCAATTCATATGTTACCCCAGCACCTTCTGATGCGTACCTGTGTAAGATGACAACAATTAGAAGTATTATTAACAAAGATGATAAACTATCATGTTAAATAAACTTTAACAACACTGAAATAAATCTAGCCATTAAATAATTAAGAGACGTAATCTTACGGATCAGTTAACCAAAGCACTTGTGAATCATGTTGATAATTTAGAAGCAAAAATGGAACAAAGCTCCTCCTAAGTTACCTATCTATTGTTCCATCCATTATCCACTACTTACTTCAACAAAAGTTATAGTCTTTCATCGATATTTCAGCGCCCCATTTTGATTCTTTTGTGGGTTTGACTTTACATAGACTGTGAGTGTCATATTTGTCTATGTGAGCTAATGAAAAATTTGGTTGTTTATAGTCCAAACTTAAAACTACAAACGTTCAGTCCCCTGATAAAGAACCTTCTCAGCCTGACTCTAAAACAGATTTTGGTATTCCCCTTTCTCTTTATTTCACTTAATTTATTGCATATTTACATTGCTCTTGTACTATGTGTTCATGGTATATGTGGGGTCTGAGGAAGAGGCTTGTAGTTGCTAGTTTTTGAGTTTTTGTTGATTGTTAGAAGGCATCTGCATTTCATACTAGCCATCTATTTCGTATTTCGTATTCTGTATTTCATATCTCCAATATTGTTGTTATTTTATTATGCATTTTTTATGGTACTAATATATCGTCTCCTGTTGCTTTTTTTGAGCCGAGGGTCTCCTGGAAACAGCCTCTCTACCCTTCGGGGTAGGGGTAAGGTTTGCGTACATATTACCCTCCAGACCCCACTTGTGGGATTATACTGGATCGTTGTTGTTGTTGTTAGAAGACATCTGCAGGAAATATTCTACTATTAATAATATAAATACCTGAATGATTCTACTATTAAGCACTTGTAAAAGAACAATACCTAAGTAAAAGGAAGAAGGAGTGACATCTGGTTTTGAGTTCTATAAATATTTAGAAAAAATTTACAAAATGAACTAAAGCTTTCATCTAAACATTCAGATTGGTAGGAGTACCAAAAAATACCACTAAATTCAGAGAGGTGTGTCCATTTATTCAGCAGATTTAATCAATAGTGCATCATTTGCAGAACTCAAATTAAAAAAGCATACAAATTCAAATAAATTTGTCTTGTTAGCTACGAATTGTCAAGCCTATTGCAATAAAGTATTCAGAGAGCTTGTAAACTTTAATGTGTTATTTTTCCTTCTCTGAAGTTGTTGAGCAGCTACAAGCTGATCAAGTGATAATCAAAAGCCACCTAGTGATTTAGCTAATCGCTTTTAAAACTGCTAAAGATAAAGCTCTTAGTGTTTACATGTTTATTGTTCAGGAGAACAATCAAAACTTCTAACATCACCAACACAAATATTTTTCTCTTTGCATAAGAGGGACAGAGAGTTACATGGGGAGGGGAAAGGTCCCAGATCAGCAAATGAAGTTGCACCAAGAACTAACTAAAAACTATATCCATTAGAACTCGAGTTTATAGGAACATCTCAAGAAATGCTCATCGTCATTCCTGAATTAAAGGTGGTACTCTAATGGCCACAAATAAAGCTTTGAGTGATGTCTCAAATATTAAAATAGGAAAAACTATCACAGGAGGGCTTTTAACAACAAAAAGGGAACAAAAAGTTTAAGATGTTCTGGATAAGAACTTATTAATTTCCATCCGTTTAGAGGTATTCTTTCAGTTTTGATGTTTACTCGATGGATTTGTCTTCTGCGAGGGTTTCCTAACCTTCTCAGCTTGCAACTCCTATACCTTCTCCGAAGGCTACCATTTCCTTTTCAAGCATGTTGTGCTTGTGTCCTCTGCAGCAAAATTATCAATGGTTCAGTGTACACAGTGATTTCCCTACATCTTCAGAGACCAAGTTGTGTTTTACAATTGATCTATAAGAGCAACTTTACTAATGGGAAATCTGAGGCCTAACAACAATAAGGAATACATATTTACTAATAAAAAGCTAAATCTTTGTTAAAAATCACGTTTGCTGCATATGTTTTCGATTAAAACAGATATCTTCTGTTCTCCCACCAGTGGAGTATGCGCTATATTTTGAGTTAAATTTTTTATTTGTGTAATATTTGAGGACAACGCCTTTCATGCACTACAAACACACATAACAAAACGTATAGACTATTTTGAGTTAAATTTGTTATAGGTGTAATATTTGAAGACAAAGTCTTTCACGCGCTACAAACACACATAATAAAACATATAGACTATTTTGAGTTATTTGTTATAGGTGTAATATTTGAGGACAGTCTTTCACACGCTACAAACACACATAATAAAATAATAGACAAGTCGAATAGGGAAGATAAAACACAAAATTGTGATATGTTGAAAACTAAAAGATAAATACACTCAAAAAACAAACAAAACATAAGATACCAAAGACAAGGGCAATTTGCGGTATCATTGGACTACTTAAAAACATAAAACTATCCTCCTACATCTAAATCAATGTTAAACTCTACTGTTAGAGAATCTGAAGGAATCTCTATTTTCTCGATTAATAAATAGAATTTTCTAAAAATGAAGTATCTCCACAATGAAAAACAAAAATGCATAAAATGTGAAAAACAAATATTATAGTTTTACCTATCTATAGTAAATCTACAGTACAACGTATCTGCACAAGCGAAACACAAATTGACTTATAATAAATTTTCCCAAGAAAATAAGCATTCGGAGCAGCTACTTACAATCTTGAGTGTCAAAAAGCACAAGTCTCCTAACGGGGAATCTGAAATAAAAATTGTGGACTTACTCTTAGAAAGATGAGTCAGGCATATCATCTCTTTGGGTGTATCGTCCGTTTCAATTACTATTATTACTATTATTATTAATCACATTAGGAAACAGGAAAAACAGAGAGATTGAAACTCAAGCTGGTAAAGCAATCATACCAGGCGTATATTGGCAGTAACCACAGATCAGCCCATCCTCCCTCTCTCCTTGTTCGTCTCCCATTTCAGAATTGTATCTTTAGATAGGTTAATCTGCAGAAAAAAAATAGCGTAAATCAAGAGTCCCAATCTTCTAACGGACAATTACTGGCATGTATGTAAAAAGTTTAGAAAGTATTATGCAAAACAGAAGAAAGCGGACATTCACCAAACAAAATTTGGTTTAGCAATAGAAGAAGTGCAAAAACAAAGAAAATTATACAAATAACTAACTAAATTAGAGAGCTCGCAGCAGATTCAAATAAAGATGGATAAACTATTCGCAGAGCCCAACAGGAGAATTCACTGAGAGAAATCGAGAAGGGGGATAATAAAGAGATATATACAAGGGAATAGACGATAGAGCAGAGACGCAGATGAAAACAATGAGAAGGCTCTGCAGGTCATGGCGCTTACTCAACAATTTTTAGGCTACGTGTAACCGTACAAATGCCCATGAAAATATTTCAGAACTCAAAAAGGCAATGAAAAAACTTAAAGCCCGGTTCAACCCGTTACGATAGCATATTAGGGCGGGCTGGGACGAATTGGGCGGGGAGCGGATTTTAGACGAATAAATTTTGGATACCGGTGCACCAGAACTCGCTAAGCCCGCTACCCTGTTAATGGGTTATTAACGGGCTGCAGCCTTATTAAGCCCGGTATCCGTTATAAATTTTTTTTAATTTTGTGGACCGTTGGGCAACGGTCAGATTTTGCACAAATGGCCATTTCGGCCTCCCCCATTAAGAAAATAGTCCTCCCACTCCTAATAATTGATAAATTACAATTTTAACCTTTTAAAAATTATAAATAGCCCCTCTTCTTCATCATCTTTTCTCACAATTCACTCTCTTACTACTCTAATTTTCTCTCAATTCTCTCTTGGTATTATTGATTATTATTCTTAAATTCTCAATTGCTTATTATTTCAAGTTTTATCAAATATTTAGTTTAGCCATTACAAAATTATTATTATCAAATATCAAGTATTCAAGTGAAGTGTGGTATCAAGTACTATCAACTATCAAGTATCGGTCTATCTGTTGAAGTTTGATTTTTGATATCAAAATTAGTGCGGCATCCGAAATCTTGGTACACTCATTCCATCTCTTTCTCTTCTTTGCTGTACACTTATGTTATTATTTAGAATTATTAATTTAATTTACATAATGGATTTACTTAGAGCAGCCCAAAAAGCGTACACTAGTAGAGGTGGCAGTAAGAAAACTTCCAAATCAAGAGGTGGTGTTGGTTCTTCTAGTAGCTTTACACATATTTCTGAAAGTTCATCTGAAAATTTAAATGTAGATTATGAGCGAATTCAAGAAAATTATGGTATAGATGATGATTTAGATGATATTCAATCACCCGATAATCTTGAACACCACCAGCTACACCTGGTAATGCTAGTCAAACTCAAAATATTAGGGGTGGAACAAGTAATCCTCCCCTCCCTATTAAGAAGAATTGAAGATTAAGAAGTAAGTGTTGGAATTTTTTTGAGAGACTAGAAGAACAAAAAAATTATGTAAAATGTAGAATTTGTAATGAAGTTTATAAACATGAGCCCGGTAAGGGAGGGAGAACGGGTCAACTTCGTAGGCATATGGTAGAGCTCCACCCTCTTGATTGGGGAGTAGATGAGGAAGACGGGCAACAAAAACTTAACCCGGGTACTGGGGGGTTAATGGGTAAATACGATATTAAGAAAGATCTGGAAGAATTAGCTAAAATAATTGTTTCAGGTTATTTACCTTTTAGTTTTGCTTCTTTACCATATCTTGTTACTTATATTCAAAGAATTTATAATCCTTTGTTTAAAGGTATTCCTAGAAGTACTTGTAGAGTTGATATCTTTAGGCTTTTTGGACAATATCAGACATATACACGTTATTTGTTCGACAGTCTTTCTTGATATTGGTCGTGCTATAAATGGAAATGATTATTTGACTATTACATACCATTGGATAGATAATAATTTTTGTATGCAAAAACGTATTATTGCTTTTAAATATGATGAAGATCAAAGTTATACTGGTGCATTTATAAGTAATACTATCCATGAAGTTGCTATATTTTATAATCTTGCAGAAAATATTTTTTGTATGTCATTTGATAATGCTTCTAACAACAACGCTGCTATTACAATATTAAAATTACATCTACACCCACCACTTCCTGAAATATTCCATGTTAGATGTGCATGTCATATTTAAAACTTGATGTAACGACCCGGCCAATCGTTTTAACCCGATCCCCTATTAACTGCTTTCCCCATGTTGTTTATGCTATTTTAATTTGTCGGGACGTTTGGTTTTGAGTTTCGGAGAGTTTTGGGACACTTAGTCCCTAAATGAGAGTTTAAGTTTTATAATTTGGACAGTAGTTAGAACAGTGTGAAGACGATCTCGGAATGGAATTTGTTGGTTCTATCAACTCCGTTGAGTGATTTCGGGCTTAGGCGCGTGTTCGGATTGTGTTTTGGAGGTCCGTAGCTAATTTAGGCTTAAAATGCCGAAAGTTGAATTTTTGAAGTTTCTGGTTTGATAGTGAGATTTTTGATCTAAGGGTCAGAATTGAATTCCGGAAGTTGGAGTAGCTCCATAGTGTTGAATGTGACGTGTGTGCAAAAATTCAGGTCATTCGGACGAGGGTTGATAGACTTTTTAATCAAAAGCGTAAATTGAGAGTTTTTGGAGTTCTTAGGCTTGAATCCATGGTTAATTCGATGTTTAGATGTTGTTTTAGGTGTTTTAAGGATTGGTATAAGTTTGTATAGTGGTATATGACTTGTTCGTGCTTTTGGTTGAGGTCCCGGGGGCCTCGGGAAGATTTCGGATGGTTAACGGGAAGTTGAGAGTTAGAGTGTGCAGCTGAAGATGCTGGATTTCTGTCATAACCGCACCAGTGGATTGGGGACCGCAAGTGCAGAGCCACAGAAGCAAGTGGGAGGCCGCAGATGTGACCAGATGAGGAAAAGCGAGAAGCCGCAGGTGCGGAAGTGGCCACGCACTTGCGTGACCGTAGATGCGGTAGAAGAAGCGCAGGTGCGGCCCAACCCTTTAAGTGATTTTCGCAGATGCACACCTGGGACCGTAGATGCGGGTCTGCAGGTGCAAGGTAAAGGCTGCAGGTGCGAATACCCTGGGCCAGAACCTATATAAGGTTTTAGTCGCGATTTTTGCCCATTCCTTCACCATTTTCATCTGGGATTTGAGCTTTTTGGGAGGTTTTTGAGAGCGAATTCAAGGGAGCTTTGAGGAGGTAAGATTCTTGGAACCTAAACTCGTTATTATGGTAATTTTTATCATTATAAGCATGAAATTTGAGGGAAAATTAGTGGTAAATTGGGGGTTAGGGTTTGGTTAATTATAGAGCTTTGAGTGATGATTTGAGGGACCATTTGAGGTCCGATTTTGGTACTTTTGGTATGACTGAACTCGTGAGAGTATGAGGATTCTGAAAATATAAATTTTACTCGATTTCGCGACGTGGGACCGAGGGGCATTTTCGTCATTTTACCTAATTTCGTGTATTAGCTTAGAATTTATTTGTGGAATCAGTTACTTGAAGTTATATTTACATTATATAATTTAAGTGAATAGATTTGGTCCATTTAGAGTCGAGTACTCGTGGCAAGAACATGGTTTCAGATTGACTTTGAGCCGGTTCGAGGTAAGTGGATTGCCTAACCTTGTGTGGGGGAACTCCCCCTAGGATTTGGTATTATTGATATTTGAAATGCCTTGTAAGTGAGGTGACTAGTGCGTACTTGTGCTAATTATTGAAAAACCCGGCTTCCTTTAAGTAAAATTTAATTGTATTTCTTGTCCTGTTTATACTACTTGCAATTTAAGCATATTGTTAGCTTAGGGAAGCATGTCTAATTGCCTTAATTGCTTTACTTGCTCAAACTGCCTTATTTGGATTATGTGCAGCATGCTAGGCTAGAAATACCTATTTTACCTTGGTATGGAATTTAAATTGAATTATGTATTCTTCATGTTGTTGATGTGTGTTTACTTTGGGACTACGGGATGGTATCCCGGGAGATTCCCCTGTATGTTTACTTTGGGACTACGGAATGGTATTCCGGGAGATCCTCCTGCACATTTATATTGGAACTACGGGACTGCACCTGGTAGATTCCCCCTGTATTGAGTATTTGCATTTGGGACTACGGATCGGTATTCCGGGACATCCCCTCGTATTATGAGTTGGACTACAGGACGGTATCTCAGGAGATCCACTAGATATTTATATTTGGGACTACAGGACGGTATCTTGGGAGATCCCCAGTTGTTATCTCTATGTTGAGCTGTATTTATTTTTATGTTTACTTTGCCTCTGTAGTAGTTGTTGTTGTTCTTTCTATCTTGTATTACTTTTACTGTTGCATTTATTTATACTATCTTTTTCTACACTATTAAACCTTGTATTTTATTTAACCTCAGTAGGGCCCTGATCTTCCTCATCACTACCCGACTGAGGTTAGGCTTGGCACTTACTAAGTACCGCTGTGGTGTACTCATGCCCTTTCTGCGCATGTTTTTCATGTGCAGATCCAGGTACTTCCACTCAGTCTTATCACACTTGAGGCGAGGAGCTGTTGAAGAGACTCTGAGGTATATCTGCCATGTCCACAGATCGAAGAGTCCCTTTCTATTCTCAGTATTAGTATAGCCCTTCTGTATTTTCTTGTTGATAAACATTTCTGGAGTTAGAGTTTTTTATCTAATCTCTTAGCTTGTGATTCATAGGGTTCCAGATTTTGGAAAGTGTTAGGTTGAGATTCTTGTACTGTTATATGCCAGGCGGCATCTTAAACACTATTTCATTTTGTTATTTTGGTTTATATTATTTTCTTTCCGCAAATTGTTTCTTTTTCTGCATTATTAGGCTTACCTAGTTGTAAGGACTAGGTGTCGTCACGATAGTTCACGGAGGGCGAACTGGGGTCGTGATAAGTTGGTATTAGAGCTCTAGGTTCATAGGAGTCATGAATCATAAGCCGGTTTATTAGAGTCTCGCGGGTCGATACGGAGACGTCTGTACTTATTTGTGAGGGGCTATGTAAGTATTAGGAAAATATCAATTCATTTGATTTTCTTGTCGTGCGAGATTTTGACATCACAATTCTAAACTTATGTCTTCTATTCTCTCACAGATGGTGATTACACGTGCTACTAGAGATGATCAGGCACCCGCTCCCCCTACTAGAGTCGTCAAAGGCCGAGGCTGGGGTAGAGGCCGAGGACGCGCACGTGGTGCATCCAGAGCACCCGCACGAGCTGCCACCGAGGTTCCACCAGCAGTTCCAGCCAGAGTCCAGGCACCT